GGAGATGGATTGGATTGGATTGGACATAGACTGAGAAGATGGTTTGGAACATCACGCTCCAGGCTAGGTTAGGCCCTGGGGTGTAAGCTAACTGGGAACGAGGAGTTGGACGTCCCAGGTGAGAGTGACATGGAGGAGATGGTGTGCGGAAGAAATGAGAGGTTGTGGGCAGTGGTGGAGCCATGTTGAAAAGACTGCAGGGAGGAGAGTGAAATTGTGACGTGCTACTGAAGTCTTATGTTCCATTAGGAACCCGAGTGACAAATAATAATCATAATAATAATGTCTATTCGTATGTGCTGATCTCCAGCAGCTAATCAATGTACCTAATCCATTCCTACAGGAGGTCAGTCGTAGCTCGATTACCTCAGTGGTAATTCAATGACTCGGGTTATCATTCTCAAGTAAGAGGTCAGTTCCGTGTAGGTTTCTGATATACCTTGCTGACCAGCATGAAACCTAGGTGAAAGCCTTCTGTCTTACTGCCTCTATTCAACTAACATCTATAACTGCTGAATATGTTATTCACTAGTTGTCTACTGATTTATCGTTAAAGTTCATCATGTTAAGAAAAGCGCATTTTAGTAATTGAATATTTCATTGTGAAAGTGGAACAACGCTAACTTCATACTTACACAGACACACACACACACATAAATGTATTCAGAATGTGCTTTTTACAGCTTAGTTACAAAAGTCATAAAATGTGTTAACTGTACTAATAAGAAATCAGATAGTTGATGTTTCATTTTATCAATCTAGTTTTTTTCCATCTTGTATACAGCGTATATAAGAAATATGCCTGTTTAAGGTAATACTGCTGTTAGGGTACAATCAAATGTTTTCAAGAAACTGCAGTTAAACTAATAAAACGAAATTGAGAGAGAAAAAAAAAACTTGCTAGTACACTTTTTTCTACTCATTATCACACTGATAATAGTAACTATTCATAATGAAACTAATGATGGATACTGGCTAGCAGGTACATCCAGCTGATGAATCCTAAATGAGACGAAACTTGCATTCCTGAACTGCATTACTAGGCAAGATCCATCATTATTATTATCAAACCGAAATTACAGGCATTATTGAGGTATCGCTATAAGAGATCATATAAGAATAGTGGACTATCTTTTTCGTCCAATCAGAGACGGGGAACTACAAGGAATATTATAAAATCGATAATGACACCCGAAAATCTTTTATCCAACAATTTGTTTGTGTGTATGTATACAGATCGGTGGGTGGGTGAGTGGGTGTACGAACGTCTACTCCATATTCGTATGACTGGAAAACAGAAGTGTTGGTTGTATAAAGTTCTCTGAGTTGGGTTGTTTAATCGTGGAGAAGCTTTCATCGTCTTTCTCCTGGACGACATCATCAGCACTAACTTCACTATGAAGTGAGCTGTCAATATCTGTCAATGAGTGATTTAGTGACTTGCTCTGACGATGTGGTCTGTGATTGGTTGTTTCCTTTGGTTGTTGTGTCATTGACAGACTGTATAGATTTTCTCCTTGGTTGTTGCTCTGCTTGACCTCTGACCTTTCTGCCGTTTATAAGAAAAATGATAAGCGACAGAAAGATCAGAGGTCAAGCAGAGCAACAACCAAGGAGAAAATCTATACAGTCTGTCAATGACACAACAACCAAAGGAAACAACCAATCATAGACCACATCGTCAAGGTAAGCTACTAAATCACTCACTCACGGAGAGATGTTGATAGGTCACTGCATACTGGAGCTAGTGCTGATGATGTCGTCCAGGAGAAAGACGATGAAAGCTTCTCCACGATTAAACAACCAACTCAGAGAACACAATAAAATCAAGACCATCTACCTGAGCTACAAATATTCTCTATTACTTTAAAACGGAAGTGTCATTTAATCTTCCTATGAAACTGTTACAATGATTTTCATGCATGCGAAATGTGTGAAAAAGGATATTACTGTTTTACATATAGAAGATTGGTCATATTCATTCTATGAGTTAATCTTATTACGCAACTAGTTTGATATCGTCTATTCGTGAGTTCAGATCGAATCTTATCGATTATATTCGCAATGTGGACACCACTGAACTAGTAGACTCAATATCGTGGTGAACATTACTAGATGTTAGTTGATAAATTGGTAAAGTCGCTACCTACAACACTGGGTGACACAGGTTCTAAACTCAGGTGGAACATCAGTTTCGTCTTGCTGATGAGTGCCAGAAGTACAAAACCTAGGCCAAGGGCTTTGTGACGATTGCCTCCAACCAACTAATCTTATTATCTTATTCTGTATAAAGTGTTTACCAGAGTATCTCAATTCAGTTTTATATGGATCTAAGATTAAATCTGTTAGTCGATTTTTAAAAAATCCTCTTCATACTTCTTAATACTCGTCTGCAACACTGATGAATTGATGTCCCACCTTAGATCCGAATCCTATCACTCAATCCTGTAAGTGGAGACGTTTGTATTGAGCTATTCAAACCAAAACTGACCTCCTGGGATGATTAGATAAGATTAATTGATTAGTCACTGGGTAGTAACTAATTTCATGTTATCCAGTTGTAAGTACTGAACGAATTTTTTCTATCATATAGCAATATATTCAACAAACTAGGAGATTCAATACTAAGATACACTTTTATTGATTTTAGTTAAGAAAAGAAAACAGGAAATTGGTCACCCTTCAATGATAAATCAATTAAATGTGTTTTTAAAAGGTTAGGGTTAATTGAGATTAAATTTTAGTATATAATTGCTGTTATATCATACCGTGATTGATTGAACCGAATTGATCGGTCTCTATTGGCTATATGGGCTCCTGTGAGGGTGCCTCGATATAACCTGTGTTTTAGTTATGTATAATAATGATGGACAATGGCTAGCAGTGGAATCCAGGATGCGCATTTCGACGTATTTAGGACTCGTCGGCTGGGTGTACCTACTTCACAGTGAGTGATGTTGTTCCCATCGAGGTTTGGACTCAGGAGCGGTAGCTTTAAACGCCAGGGTGTTATCCTCTACACCACCAAGGCAAGATAGCCACATCTTGAGTAATGAGTATAACTTTTAGTATATAATTGTTTTTATATCATACCGTTGGGAACAACATCACTTGCTGGAAAGTAGGTACATTCAGCTGACGAGTCTCAAATAGGACGAAATGCACATCATGGATTCCACTGCTAGCCACTATCTATCATTACTATCATATTTGAATCTTGACTAAAAAATTAGGTTATTTATCATTCATCGTCTTCATTGACGGAATATTCATGATGTGATAAGAGATAATTGTCTGCACGAATCATATAAAATTAGTTATAACAATAATTTTATAAAGTTTATCCCTTAAGTTTTTTTTCTGTTACAAGGAGAAAAAAGAAATAAACTTTAGATACTATTTTCAAATTTTTCTAAAAATATTTCTGTGGCTTATTTGGAACTTGGACTAGCGAAAAGTTTCCCCTTAAATATTTGCAAAATAAATTTATCCCCTTTCAATTTCTTTTAATCTTTTAAATATTTTTTCAAAATGTTATCATGTAAGCTGGCACACTTTTAAAATATTTTCAACCAATCGTTTTTTAAGGATAAAAAAACACATAACGAACTATAAAACAATGATACGTTATGGTACATGGAAATGAACTTTTAAATACATAAAACTACATTATACTAATATACCGAAGATTTGTCCCTTAGGTTCCTAGTGGAATGAATATACGGCTTCAATAGCACGTCACAATTTCACTCACTTTTTAACCTGGCTCCACTACTGCCTATCAGCTTCATTTATTCTTCACACTATCTCTTCCATGTCATCCCTTACCTTGGATGTCCAACTCGTCTCTTCCCATTTGGCTTCCACCTGAGGGCCTGATACGGCATGTGATATTACCAAATGGTCTTCTCAGTGTATATCCAATCCAATCCAATCCATCTCCGCTTGCTTCTACTGCATTTTCGTTGGGCGATAGCTTCTTCCTTCTTTGGTTCGTTGCCAGACCAGAATTCTTTCCTGCTTATTCTTATTATTCTGCTCTTCTGATCTCCATCTTCGGTATCGAGTGAATGTAGGCGTCAGCTGTTGACATGATGTATGTGTGCAGTTTGTTGGAGTGTTTTTTGTAAGGCGCCAACTCTCTCAACCACCACATAGAAGCAAGCACTAACTGACTTAACTGACATTATGTTGAAAATGCGGATGTTGTTTACGCTTTGTGCTGAGTGGAGTGCAGGACATCTCCACATTAGTTTCAGGTCAATGAACGCCTGTCTTGCTTTCCGATCCTGGTTTTGACATCCTTGTCTGTGCCACCTGTAGTTGAAACGGTGCTGCCTAGGTAGATGAAAGAGACCACTTCTCTTAGATTTCTCCCGTTGATGGTGCTTGTTGTTGGTGGTGGTGATGTTGGTTGGGTATCTTCATCACCTCCGTCTTCTCTACATTCACTTGAAGTCCCATCATCGATGCCCTGTCTCTTCTGTCAAATTGTTAGTTTTCACCTGTAGATCTTCCAGTTTGTGCGACATGAAACATAAATCGTCGGCGAAATCCAAATCTTCTTCTGTGGTCTTTGATCGGTCCAGTCAGCATATGCCCCTCTGCTCGCACCTCATGTTTGCTGCATGATACAGTCGACCACAATCAGTAAGATCATAGATGATAGTAGCAGCTTTGTCTCACGCCTGACTCCTGTCTTCACTTCAAAGCATCACTGAGCTTTCCATTATGGATCACTAGGCATGTGGCATCTTCATACAGCTGTTGAATGAGTTGATAAAGATTTATGTGTACTCCGTAGTGTTGAAGAAACTGCCAAATTACTTCTCGGTCGACGCTGTCGAAGGCCTTTTCGAAGTTCTAAAGTTAGGTAGAGTTTAGTTGACTGCCATTCCATGCTGTGTTCTTTGACGATGTGTAGCATAGCGTTGCAATTTGATCCGCTTTAATATGTATACTCATCATTAATTTTTTTTCTTCTCCATTCTCTTACATAGATTTGGCGCAGCTAATGGTGTATTACGTGTTGATGCTGGTAGACGATGTTCTACTGGGGATGGAAAATTCTTTTTTCGGTGTAGTCCACCAAATGGACAACCAGTTGATGCATTAGTCACACAAATACGTCAACTAGCTTTGGAAGCTAAACAACGTACAAAGCGTAGTCAATTAACTTCTAGTAATTTAGAATTACACGTCAATAACAACAACTGTGATGATAATAATAATAATAACGGTGATGTAAACAGTACAAATCATATCAAAGGATCATTATTATCTCATACTGGAGATAATTTAAATAATGATCAGATAGAAAGTATCCACGGAACATTACCACGTGCACGAATGAAACGTTCAAAAGTACCAGGTGAAAATCTAACTTCACGTTCCAGCTCAAATAATATTAATGGCTGCGTTAAGGGCGGCAGCGGTAGCGGCGGCGGTGATGGTGATGATGGTGGTGGTGGTTGCCATAATAGTACTGAGTGTACACCTCCTAAAGCCACTCCAGAACTATCAGATGAGCTTGATTCAAATCTGCCAGCTTCTAGTGTAAATGATACGGAAGTGTTTAAAGCAACACCTTGTAAAGGAGTAAGTCCCCTGGGTATTCATTTAAATGAACCTGTTTTAGCCCTCTGTACTATGTAAGGGCTGAGTCAGTCACTATAAGCTACAAACATGTACCTCAACTGTTATTTATTATTTGTCCCTTGGGTTCCTAGTGGAACATAGGGCTTCAGTAGCACGTCTCCATTCCACTCTCTTCTCTGCAGTCTTCTCAACCTGGCTCCAAAACTGCCACAACCTTTCATGTCTTCCTCACACCATCTCCTTCATGTCACCCTCAGCTGGGATGCCTAACTCATCGTTTCCCATTTGGATTCTACTCGAGGGCCTGGTCTGTCGCGTGATGTCCCCAAATGGTCTTCTTAGTGTATATCCAATCCATCTCCACTTACTTCTGCATATCTGTGTACCTCAACTATACTGTTCAATAAACAATCTTCAAGTTGAATCTTATTCATGTCACAGACGGTTAACTGTTATTGCATTGTTTTCTATGAGCTGCATAATTCTAAAGGATCTTACAGAAGCAATAAATCCCCGCTAACCTCAACTTTGATTTATTTAATACTGATTGGTGACTAGCTGCCAGAGGTGCTTCCGAAGTTCCAATGACTAGTCAAGACTAGTGGAGCCAAACAAGTCGAACATGAGGATATTTACTCCACTACAGCAGTGGATATAGGTCACACTAAAGAGGAAAGAAATGTGGACGATTCGATTAAGACCCAGTGGATCAATAGTAATGTGCTGGCCGTGGAACATGAAGGTCCTAGTTTCAATCCTTGATGTGGCGGGGTCATGGATATCCGCTGCTGAAGGGTCCTAATTGGTTATCTCCCAAGTTGTAGGAGTCACCTTTAAAGTCTCACGCTGAACACTGTTGACCAGCTTAACTTTCATCATATATTTGAATTTACTTGAGAACAATTTTTAAACATGAAGTACTTGGTGGCGGTTATCGGTGCAATTCAGAAAGCGTGTTTCATCCTACTTCAGATTTATCAACTGGAAGTAACTGCACTCCAATGAGTGATAGTGTTCTCACTGAGACGCGAACTGTGTATTCATAGATTCAATCGCCAAAACCACGAAGATCCTAGGGGCATATCCTTTGCAGTGGGTATTAATCATCTGTTACTTGTTACAACTTGTAATTTCCTGTTGGTATATTCAACCAAATTGGTCGATATCGCTTGACAAATGGGTTCCAGTGTGAGAAAGCCTTGAAACTCCCTAAATATTCATTGTGATAGATAAATGGTATCAAAAATCCAGAAAGTTTCATTTATTGTCAACATTACTGATCCAATCGTGTTTGGGAGAACAATAAGATACAACGGAAAAAATGTTAATTGTTAATAATTGGAACGGTACTCACTACATATTGTACACCTTGCACTAATTCAGTCATTTGCAAAGTGTGCTTCGTTTCCTCTTCTGTTTCTCTCTTGAACATTTGGATTTCTCCGATGATGACTTGTGTCTAATGTCACACAAACTCGAAGATCTACAGCGAAATCCAACAGATTGAGAGGGGAGACAGTGAAGACGGTACTTCAAGTGAATGTAGAGAAGACAGAGGTGATAAAGATACCCAACCAACGCCACCACCACCAACAACAAGTTCTAATCACCATCAACGGGAGTAACGTAAAGGAAGTAGCCTATGTAGGTAGGGCAGCATCGTTTCAACTACAGACGGCACAGGCGAGGACGTCAAAGCCAGCCACGATTGGAAACACAGCAAGACAGGCTTTCACTAATCTGAAATCAGTGTGGCAATCTTCTGCACTCAGCATAAAGCGTGAACAACATCCGGATTCTCAACACCAATTCGGTCAAGTCAGTCACTGTTTCTATGTGATGGTTGAGAGACTTGTCGCGTTACGAAAAACATTTCCAACGAACTACAGGTATTCATCAACAACTGCCTACTCTGGCTCGATACTGAAGTTCAGATGGCCAGAATAATGAGAATAAGCAACAAGGAAGTGGCTGGCCGGGCAACGAATCAACCAATAACCTATCGCCCAGCAAATATGGAGTAGAAGGAAGTGGAGATGGATTGGGCATTCACTCAGAAGACCATTCGTGGACATCACACGCCTGTCACTCAAGTGCAATCGAAGGGGAAAAGACGAGTTGGGCGTCCTAGTCTAGGGTGACATGAAGGAGATGGTTTGAGGAAGAATTTAGAGGCTCTGGTCAGTCGTGGAACCAGGTTCAAAAGTTTGCAGAGAAGAGAGTGGAATGGAGACGTGCTACTGAAGCCCTGTGTTCCACTAGGAACTCAAGGGACAAATAATAATGATAAAATATAAATAACACAGCTGTTATTAGTAATCACTCTAATAATAATAATAATAATAATAATAATAATAGTGGAGAGATAATTCAAAGCCTCTGTGGTGTTACCATACAAAGAAGGTACCTCGGAAGAGGTACGAAGAATTCTGGAATTAAAGTGGCTGGTATTTAAACCAAAAAACTCGCTTAGAAACAAGCTTTATAAGTTCGAAGATCCTATCGATCCATTTCAGCAAAATAATCTGGTCTAGCAAATTCCTTACAATGATTGCCAAGTCAAATACATAAGTCAAAGTAGTCGACTAGGGTCATTCAGAATACTAGAGCATAAAAACCTAGTTAAATCAAGAATAATAGACCCTAGTAAGGCAAGGAATCTTGAAAATGAACCCGGCTACAATCTTGCATGGAACTGATTTGAACTATACAATAGGATGAGAGAGAGATCGAGTCAACACAGCAACAGGAATGACTGAGCACCTGTTCTCAATATATAGAAAATTCTACTACCCCTGTTATCACAAAGAAAGAGAGAAGATTAGAACGAATATAAACTCTGTCTTTATGTTGTGGAGTCTACTTACCTGATATGAATATAAACAATAAACAATATGGAAAACGTTAACCAATAAATGATACTGTTTCACTATGTTGACTGTCTACTGCAGAGTCCAAGTTTTATTCCAATGGTAATGTTTAAAACTAAGGTTTTCATTCAATATACTCCATAAATATATGACAATGAGGCTAGTTTTATCATTTTTTTTGTTTGATGTTTGACGTTTGAATCGATGAGTACTGGGGATTCAAGTCTCAGTGGGAATAAAATTACACCTCACCGGGGTCCAAGTACATCCATCTAATAATTAAGTCGTGAATAGGACAAAATACACCTTCTGAATTTCATTTCTAGCCACTAATATCACTATTCTTCGGTTGTATTTCAATTAAACCAGCCTTGTATGTTATACTTTTCACTTAAACTTTATTTAAATCTGAATTCCAGTGTTTCCTTTGTTAAGTTGCTTTCTTCCATTACCATCCGACAACTTGCTATAAACAAAGTTCATTCTTGTCGTTGTTGTTGTTGTTGTTGTTGGTGGTGGTGGTGGTGGCGGTGGCGGTGGTATTGTTCTTGTTTCACGGTCACTTGTATGTTTATTCATGACCGATTGGTTGTGTGTGTGTGTGTGTGTGTTTTGTTACCCTTCACCTTCAACCTCATTTTTCGACACATGAAACACAATCATATCCCAACTGTTGTAATTTCATATCTATGCTGTATACATTAGAAAAATGAAAATATTTGCACATTGAATATACCATATATGACCTGTTTATTAATCATCTCACACTTCACTTGTCTGTAAACACAGTTGGTTATGTTCACCAACCTAAAATAAAAGCGTTTCTATACCTTTATTTCTTTCCAGACTATATAAGCTGGGCGATGAATAGAGCTTGATCAGTGTGAATCATCAAAAACTTAAATCACGACGATTACTCCGCTTATCTATCGATCTATCTGACTGACTGATTAGTGTGTTTTTATATTATTTTTGTCGTCTTGGCGTCGAATTACATCAACATTCTGTATGATGAAAGTTTTTTTTGTCTGTTCAAATGATGTGTCTATAAAGACACTTTAACCTATCACTTCCGTGTTATGTGTGTATCTGAGAGATGATGTAGACAGTTCTACACTTGATAAACGTTACTCATACCAATCTGGGTAACTTTTGGCGCTGTCGAGACGTTAGTCTAACCGTAAAATGTCGGGTTTAACAATGCCTCGGTACGAGTAGTTCTGCTCTACGCCTGTGAAATCTAGTCTCTCTAAGCTGACAATATGCGACCCCTCTGTATGTTTGATCATCGTTGTCACCGTATGATTGGTAATATCCAGTGGCAACACCGTTTAAGGAGTTGTGGAGATGATGGAGACGGTCATTCGATAAACGAAGTCATCCGGAAACGCAGGCTTCAGTGACTTGGACATATGTTACGTATGTTGTTCCAACTTCTTACACACTGTTCATTGTTTTCTAACCCTCGGACTGGATGAAAGAAGCAGAGGATTGGTCAGTGTATGACTTGACACCATGGGATGAAGGATAGTTGTATCGGGTTAGCATTTGTTGGTGCATCATGACTCCCTGGGTATGGTGCGAGAGATCACACAACTCAGTGGTCTGAGATGATATCAGATATGGCTGACAATCCTCTGCTGCTGAAAGCTAATGAATGTTTTGTGTCTAATGTATATTACTGGACTGCCCGTATTATCAAGCTATTCTTATTGTACTTCTCTTTCTTACTTATCCACTTCTCATCATTTATATCTTCACAATGTGGTTATACTATTTTATGTGGTACATTTTTTAGTGCCTTTGATGTACCATATTTGTGTTCTAGTAAACAATAATAATAATAATAATTTATACCATCTGTTGTGATAGCATTGTACCTTTCCAATTCCTTGAAAGATTTATACATTAGTTAGGCGTTTGAAGTGTTAATCAGTTTTCCGATTTATGAGTATATTATTGACATCAAGTTGATATTCATCATGATTATTATTATTATTTATCCCTTGGGTTCCTAATGGAACACAGGGCTTAAGTAGCACGTCTCCATTCCACTCTCTCCTCTGCTAACTTTTCAACCTGGCCCCACGACTGACCAGAACCTCTAAATTCTTCCTCAAACCATCTCCTTCATGTCACCCTCGACTAGGACGCCCAAGTCGTCTTTTTCCCTTCGGATTGCACTTGAGTGCCGGGCGTGTGATGTCCACGAATGGTCTTCTCAGTGAATGCTCAATCCATCTCCACTTCCTTCTACTCCATATTTGTTGAGCGACTGGTTATTGGTTGTTTCCTTCCCAAATCTTCTAGGCTCTTTTCATCGGTCCAGTCAGCGTATACCCATCTTCTCGCTCCTCATAGTTTGCTGCTGATCCAATCGACCAACATTATGGGCGATAGTAGGCGGCAGCCTTGTCTTATTCCCGACTCCTGTCTTCACTTCAAAGGCGTCAATGAGCTTTCCATTATGAATCACTTGGCATGTGGCGTCTCCGTTTAGTTGCTGAATGAGGTTGATAAAGATTTGTGGTACCCCGTAGTGTTGAAGCAACTGCTAAATTACTTCTCGGTCAAAGTTGTCAAAGGCCTTTTCGAAGTTGATGAAGTTCAGGTAGAGTTGAGTTGACTGCCATTCTATACCAGGTAGTAACTGGTGAACTGGTTAACATGGAAATACTGGACTAATTGGGCAAAACAGGTTGGACATGAAAAGACTTACGACAGGATTAGATGAAGATGGTGCTACACTGCCAACTGACAAGAGTAGAAAAATGTCAACTAGTAGATTGCAAACCGGAAACTAATTAGTGTTGTGGTGGCTATGGAACATGAATGTCATGAGTTTGAACTCTGACGGTGTCATGGGTGCACATAATTGCAGAGTCAGATACTTGGATGAAATAAGTTGTTCAATGATCTCAGGTTTTCATTGGCTCTTTGCTTGGTGTCATTTCGTGATGACTTCCGATTTGAAGTACAAATCTTATGATGCAAATAGCACAGTGTATGAAAAAGTTTGATTTTGTTATAAATAGCCCAACAAATATTCAGTAGAAGAAAGTGGAGATGGATTGGGGATATGCTGAGAGGTTGATTGGAGCACCAGACCCTCAAGTGGAATCCAAAGGGGAAACGACGAGTTCGGCATCTCAGCTGAGGATGGTATGGAGGAGATCATGTGAGGAAGAAATGAGAGTTTGTGGGCAGTCGTGGAGTAAGGTTCAAAAGACTGCAGAGAATAAAGTGGAATGGAGGCGTGCTACTGAAGCTGTATGTTCCACTAGGAACCCAAGGGAAAAATAATAATAGTGACAACTGAGATATAAGTTTTGTTTTAAGTGTATTGGTTTGTGATAAGTAAAGTACACTTCATAAATATACCAAACGTCGATTAGTCATATATGACAAGTCAGAGAAGCTGATACTATATTTTTTTTCTGTAATAAACAAACATGTGATGAACACAAGTTTGCATCAGTTGGATGAAGACAGTCAATAGAAAACCTTCAACCTAGCTTTCATACTTGTTAGGACTCATCACTAAGTGTATCTAGAATCTCGATTAAACACATGTCCATGTCATCCAGTAGTGTAGTCAGCGAGGTTACCATCAACTGACTGAGTTATATACGTTGAGTACTGACAGAATTCATTCTATCATTTTTGTAATGCGCCTACCAAGGTAGGAGGCTCACCATAGTAGTATACATTGATAGATGTTAGTTGGATGGGAGCAGTTTAAAGGAAGGCCAGGATATAGGTTTCGTGTTTAGCGGCATCTCTACATTGACCTAATCATCTGTTTGTCGCATTTTCCCTCCATCGAAGATATTCTGTCTTTTCTTTTCTAGACAAAAAGTAATCCAGAACCAGTGAATACATCATATCTTTATGATAATTTACCTCGTCCACCACGTCGTGCTTCACGTTTACCTGGAGCTGTGAATGTACTTCCATTGCCAACACGTAGTAGCAGTAGCAATAGTAAACAGAAAGATTTCAACTTGTCAATAAACTCCTCAATAACTAGTACAAATAACTCACGAAATTCTACAGATACTCTTGATGATTTAGTGAAATTAAATTCGCGACATATTGCCTCTTCTACTGCTTCATCATCAATACCTTCAACAACAGTGTCACCTGCAATTACTCCGATTACACCATCAATAACATCAACATTAGCATTAACTCCATTGTCTATGTCTTCATCTTCTCCATTTATAACGTCTAGATTAAGTTCTACATCTTCATCATCCCCAACTTCAAGTCTAAATAATCAGAAAGTGGAAACTCCAATTATTCCACCACACTCTTCAATAATAGCACTTAATCATGTTCCACCGTACAGTAAAAATCATGAAATGAATACTACAACAGCATCATCATCATCATCAATAAATTTTATAGACAGTACAGAAACAAAGTCAAGTGAAACATGTTCTAATCCACCTTCACCTTCTTCTTGTCAATTAACAACAATAATGACAACATCAACAACCGTATCGACTACATCATCATCTAATTCTATGGTGAAATCATTAATACAATCGTATACTTCATATCACAGAATAATTCAAATCATATTATTAATGGATTACATGAGAATGGTATAAAGAATAGGCAAAAACCTCCTTGTTTATCACTTCCTATGACATCATCATCATCATCATCTCTACAATCACCAATATTTACAGTCAATAATACTGCCAATAACAATAGTGATTATGATAATAATAATAATAATAATAATAATACTGAATCAAAAATGGATATTCACAAATCTTCAAATAAATTAACACACTCGACAGGACTAATGCGGGTACCCTTATCAACGAATAAACAATCAGGTATGTGTACCGTTTGATTTTCCTGTGATTGACCTTGAACCTTTATATATATATAAAAGAGAGAGAGAGAGAGAGAGAAATATTGTGTCAATACTTATTGATATAAGTTGTTGATAATCTCATTATTTTGTCCTCTTACTTTGAAATAGTGTACACAGGTTTTCTATCAAGAAAAGGTTGTGTTTTTTTAATCCAACACCAGATCAATATGATACGTTGACTTATTTGGAATGTTATACAATAGACTAAATAGTTTACAATAATGCTGCTATTCAATTATAACTTATTTGGTGGTGATTAACAGACAAATCTATGGATCATATTTTGTCCTGTCTGGGACTCATTAGCTGAATGTAGCTGGACTATAGTGAGTGATTATATACCGGGTGATATTTGAACCCCGTTCCTATTGATGAGGCAAGAGAGCCAACTAATAAATTATATTGAATATTCCCATTTAGACATTTAGAAAAAGACTGATTGAGAGAAGAAGAGGAGAAAAATGATAGTATCCCATTTCTTGATGTTCTGTTGGTAAGAAGGTTAGATGGAACCCTGAAGCCAACATCAACAGGTCAATATACGCACTTCTTTAGTGCTGTACCCCTCCAATATAGAAGGACCCTAGTGAAATGCTTAGCATACCGTGCCTCAGCTATTTGCTCAGAGGATGCTATAAAGGAAGAATGCGCCATCATTTGTGATCTGCTTAGTAGGAATGGCTACCCAGACAAGTTCGTAACTAAGCACGTGAATATTACGAGGGTTAAGACAACAATGCCAACAGTTCCTAAGAAGCAAATCTTCTTGAAGCTGGAATTTAAGAGTGATATTGCCAGTGAGATCATCACACAACGCATCAAAAGAGTCTTGCATAAAGCATTCCCAGCCACTAAATTATGTCCCGATTTCTACAATCGCCAGATTCTAGGTGCAAGAAATTAAGACAAACTGCCTGATTCTGTCACTTCTATGTGCATTTATCAATTCAACTGCTCCTGTGGAGCTAGCCGCATTGGGTGTACAATGAGGCAGTTCCATCGTCGAATTCCCGGGCACCACCCATCATAGTTGAACAAGGGACAAATTAGAACTATAAAGAGCTCCATACTTGCACATTTAGTTGACACCTCTTCCCCTTCCCCTTGTTTCTATCAATATTCATATTTCCTATTTTAGTAACCCTATTGACTATTTACATCATTATTTCTAAAACATCACCACGTGATTGATGATTTGACTAAATTGTAAACCTACGTATATTAGTGTAGAGTCCAAGATGAAGACCTAATGAAAAGGAATATACATTTCTTCGCTCAATCAGCCTTTTAATAAATTATAGTATAATGAATATTCAAGGAATATCGAGGCATCCGTATAGGAGCTTATATTACCAACAGTGGTCGACCAATAGGAATCAATGTTTAACAATCCTTGAAAGTATGACTCAAAATTCAGTGAACATTTTTAATAACCTTCATTTGTGTAGACTCTATCAACTTTCTCCCTAACTGTTCGTTTCAGCTGTGTAAAGATGTATACGTGTAGACTACCTAGCTGGGGTCTCTGATACGACAAGAATCAGTGGTTGACGGCTGTTGAATGTTTTCATAAACCTTAATTTTTAAATTCCCTCTCCTCCTATCCACCTTTAACTAATTTGATACCAATCGTTCCTATTCACTTTTTCTTTGTTTGTTATTGTGATATGTGGTAGCCTGTAGAGATGGACTTGTGTATGAGGTTTCACGTTGATTTTGTCTGTCTATCAATCTGCCTTCACAATATCTTACGTATATGAAGAAATTGGCAGTAAACGTAAGGCATAAGCTAAGGATTATCAGTAAAGCGACTGGATCAACTTTTCATATGGTAAGTATACCACCAAATTCGCCATATTATTCACAGTTCTAGAGAACTCTTAGAAGTAAACTGAAGAAACGGTATTTATCTAGATACTTCATCAGGGATTGTTAAGAACTAGGTAAAAAAAAATGTACTTTCCACTAGTGTATCTATTCAAGCCCCTACTGGGTGGTGATTGAAGGTGAAATGTAAAATTTGAACTACGGCGGGATTCGAACCAGTGACCAAATGGTTTTCAGCCCAGTTCTCCACTAACTGACCTACAAAGTCCGACCATTTTGTACAAGAATTCACAATAAAATCTTGTTTTGATTGTTCTATCATCCTGTAAATTAATCTGACTAACTAAAGCATTGTAAACTCTAGTATCAATATGTTTCAGTTCAGTATTGTTACAGTGTGTAGTACAATAGAGAACAATTGATCAATAAAGGATATGAAATTAACTGAACCAAACCTACCAAGCAAAGAATTTGAACAAATAAAATTAGGAATAACGAGGCGTCAGTCAATTAAATAAAAGCAGAGTATTTCAAGTTGTTACTCATCGTAGACTGACATCAGTTGGATGAACAAAGGAAACCTGGGAGCACTGGACAGCTGTTTCGTCCTAGTATGGGACTCCTCAGCAGTGCTCACCCACAACCCCACCAGCAGGGATCGAACCCAACTGATGTCAGTCTACGATGAATAACAACTTTAAATAATTCCAAATCTCCACAACTCCCTCAAAAGCAGAGTAAATTGAATGGTGATCAGGAGAGTAACTAAGCTCATTCTATCTGTAATATAAAAAGAAAAACTTGAGCACTGTGATCGATTGTAATTCCATTTTAGTCTGTTTAGTAGAAATATCACATATAGAGAACAAACAGTATCATTCACTGGAGAACGTTTCAGGCACAATTTATTGTACATATTCATTCATATCACGGAACTCCACAAGTCTGAGACAGAGTTTATATAGTCCTAATTCTCTCGCCTTCTCCGTGATAACAAGGGTAGTAGAATTTCCCACATATCTGAGACAAGTTCAGAATCATTTCCATCACTGCATGTACTTGCCTTTGATTCGATAAACAAAGATTCACTCGGTTATCAATCTCTCCCTCCATCCACCCAACAAAGTTAGTTTCTATTGGTGTCGCTCTACCCCCCCCCCCAACCTACCATGTGATTGTGTGTAATTGCATGCAGAGCTTTGATTAATCTTTTTTTCTCACTTTAATGGGATCTACCTAATTTGACCTAAGTTTTTTCCGCTCGGATAGCCTAACTGAACCTAGTCGACTGCTTTGAACTATGCATTTAACCTGGTAATTGTTGCAAGGTATTTGATAAACTAAATTACTCTGTTTAACTGGATCAGTAGTATCATCTAACATACGGAGTTTGTTTCTCAGCGAGTTTGTAGGTTTAAATGCAAGTCGCCTTACTGAGAATTCTTCTTAACGCTTCTAAGAGAGAATTCAGTTTCCCTCTGTTATTATACAAGAAAGACACTATAGAAGCATAATGAAGAATTCTCAATAAGGCTGTCTGGGATTACAGTGGCACATTAACCAACCTATTCATGCAATTAAGCAAAATAATCTGCTTTACCAGATCCCTTGCATTAATTACGAGGTCAAATACATAGGTGAAAGTAGTCGACCAGCCAGGGTCGATTGGAATAACACAGCACAAACACTTAACTAAATCAAGATTAGTAGATCCTATTAAGACAAAAAACCTAGAGAAAAGCCGAGCTATATCTGTGCACGCAATTACACACAATCACACACTACGGTGGGATAGACCGACAACACTGAAAACTAAATTCAGTTGAGTGGGTGAATGGAGAGATTGATAACCGAGTGAATCTTCGTTTATCGTGTCAACACCAAATGCATGCAATGATGGAAATTATTCTACACATATCCCAGATATATGGAAAATTCTACTACCCCCATCATCACAAAGAAAGAGAGAGAGAGAGAGAGAGAGAATCAGGACTATATAAACTCTGCCTCCACTTTCTTGAGACACAATAAATTGTGTCCAAAACGTCGTTCTCCAGTGAATGATACTGTTTGTTCACTGTGCGTGACATTTCTACAAAAGTGGCTAAAATCATATTTTATTTCATCTGGTCATGATTTCTGGTGAAAATTCTACTCATGGTCATCAAGCTGGACGATTCAGCATCACTTTTGTACTTGATCGATGTTATACTATGTAGCTGCAGACAATGGGTAGGAAGCCAGCCCTGATTCACCTAGGTCTCATGGATATTGACAGTGTTTAGCAAGGCCTGTCTGTAGACTTGAAAATGACAAATCAGTGTATTTTTAGCCCAGTTCAACAGGTGGTCGTTCACTGCTTGAATAAGACAGTGGTAACGTTACTGGTGACAGTCGTAGGTGATGTGGGTTCACATTTCTATGGGGACTTTAGTTCCCGTGAAATCCTATATACTCATTGCTGGACTGGTGAGCGCCAGTAACCTCGAAACCTAGGTGGAGGGTTTCCTGCTGATTACCCCAAACCATCTAAGAAACGTAGAGTAGTTTGTAAGCATAACTGCATTGTTGTCTCGATTTTATGCCACACATCTTAAGGTTTATGAGCACGGGTTTCTGCCACTAAAAAGATCGTAGGTATTCAAATTATAGTTTTCAAAGTGACCGCGCTAGCAGATAGTCGGTTTGCGAAATTATTCTTTCCTACTTCAATTTTCAGCCCAGCTCATCTTTAAGCACGTCACTTTCCGAACCTGATATATCGGTCTACTTGATGAGTAGAAAATATCCTAGCATCATATTCACATGAAAACGAACACTCCTGCTAGAGCATCCTTACAACTTCTCTTCAGACCGATAAGTGTTATTTCATGACTCATCCAACTGTCCGGCCTCAACTCATCCATATTCACTGGGCAATTAGTTTGTTGATCGTACTCACCTAGTCATAAGTAGACTTACGTGGATCTCATGTCTCTGAAGCATTCACAGTCTCTCAAACCTGAGTGCAACTATTGATACCATGAAGGATATGAATAACGACACAGATATCCCAGATCGAGAATCGCTCGCATTCACAAGGTATGACTGAACTTATCTCTGAGTATTGCTTCAACAACAGTGACTACCAGA